TATAACTCGAGCAGCAATCATAGTCATGAGTTTCTGTTGACTTATATTAATCTGATCAACTTAAAAAAATATCTATTTATACCAGAATGAAATTTTGAATTTAATAAATCTATATCATTTAATGTTTTCACTAAAATTATATAAATAACAGTAGTTAAAAAAAACATGAATTTTTTACTTACTTAAAGTAACAGCTAATTATCTTTTGTGAAATAAAGGAGTTATACTGAGTACAAATACTCAGCTTCAAATACATAAAGTTTGTTCCTCTAAGCCTATTAGAATTCAGTAGCCACTGAATCAACAAAATTTAACCGACCTAGTCTATTTGTATGCTAATTTGTAATATTAAATATGGTTTTATTTAAATCAAAATAAATGTTAATACATTGCCTTTCGTTTAATCGTCATTCAATCGAATATAGTAAGAAATCATTAAACTTTTTTCTATAAGTAAACCAAAAACATGTTTTCTTCTTCTCTGTTTTTATTTTACAAAAAAAACAATACAAAAAAAAGATCTCCCAAGGAAAATCTTCAGCTGGTGTCATGTTGATTCGTCGATAAGGTTCACTTTTGGCGGTAGCATCTGAAACCACTTTTGTGGCCAATGAGGTTAACTGCCTCGCCGCCACCCTTGATCGACATGCTACTGATAAAGTACTAGTAGGACCAGGATCGTTCTCCCTCTCCACTCGCACTCCTGCTATTCTCCTGTCGTCTGAACTACCACTATAAAAGTCATTACCACACGGTATCCAGATTCCTAGATGTTTCCGCTTACACTAGTAGAGTTTGAAAGTGCCTCGGTTTATTGTGGCCACCATCGAAGTAGCATCCTACCGCAGACCGAAGCGATTTTCACGCTCTACCACTTGAGGAAAAGAAGGATCTCTCACTAACTTCGACACGTCAACAGGAGTACTCATCGAGAATGGTACTAACGCCTCAATACCCTCTAATACTTTAGCATCAACATCGATGTTGGTTTCTTCGACGTGAACGATATCGTCCATTTTGTTTTGTTTTGAAGGTAAATTTTGTGTGTAAATTTGTATAAAGTGCGAAGCAAAAGGGTGTCGAAAAGCAAAAAGTGCGCATGATATCTGTGTCGTCCTTACACATTACGTGTATATATACGGACAAGATCGATGTCATGCAGTAATGATCCATGTATTAAATGTTTTCATTTTCTCCTTATACACATCTACCACAGGAATCGTATTACGCACGTCGCTTCTTCAGTACTTCTAAAACAAAATAATTATTTTCGGTAGAAAAAAAACTTGGTAAAAGGTTCTTCAGCTAGGTACAGATTTAGTTAAGCACCTGTCTTTTAGAGCGTTGTTTAAATAAAAGACTAATATTTACCTATCAATTTGTGCAAAACTTTTTCAAATAGTTTTCTCCATATGTCTGGATCCAGTCATTGCAAAGAAGCGCAGCTATTTTGTTGACACCCGTACCTTCGTTAACAGCGTTTTTACTCAGTATTGATCGACGTTTATCATCTGCTAACAAATCTAAAAGACGTACATCGTTTATCATTTTCTCATCACAGTCTGTATCGAACTGTAGAAAAAGTCCGATATCCCAATTATGACTGCACGAAAATATATGTATCGAAATGTTGTTGAAATAAAAATGCGATAGCCATCTGTACTGTCCATTTATTTGATGGAACGTGGTTAAGTTCAATATCTGTTAAATTTGGTTTGAACCATAATTGAAATTTTTCTTCTGTGTTAATTACATTGATTTTTCGATTCGATTTGATTTAAATATACTATAATCTAAGAAAAGTTGAAGTTTTGGTCTGATGTAAATTTATTACTGAATATGATTAGAAGGTGATAAAATAATGGAAAATAGCGATACTGTTTGACTATATAAATACGAGTGTGAATTCGGTAAATATGCTGTGTTTACTAAAATAATGTGTAATTTAAATTTATGTGCGAATAGGATTTGTATTAATTGTGGTGCTTTAGATGCAGTATTATATTTTGTTTCGATAATAAATTGCTTTTTTTGAAACTGTAATAGACTCTTTGCGGTGATATTGGTTCAGATTTGCCTAAAGCTGTTAAATTTTAAAAAGTATTTTGTTTTGTATTGATGTTAGTAATTTATTAAAAGATAGTAACTCTCGGTTTTGTTAAAATATATCTGAATAGAAAGCAGCAACAATATATTAGAAATATTTGAGACACCTACGAGAAAGTTTATTAATTTGATCGATGAATTAATATATGCGTCGATAGAAGAATATAGTAACAATAATAAACACATCAATTTAATATATTTTTTCTACCCGATATCATGCATAGTACATAATTGTCTAATTATGATCATTAAATATGCTGACTAATAATTATTTGAACTATTCAGTCACTTAAAACTGAATCTTACTCCAAATGTGAAATAAACATTTAAGTCACCAGTCTTCTATTATGAATAGTATTATGATGATGATATTCAAGACCTCCAATGGCTTGAGATCCTTCGACTAATTCGGTTTTTTAGATTCTATATGCCTTTTTATACTCTAACTATGATGCTTTACAATACAAACGAAACAAGAAGGAACCTATAATACAAGTAATATATGTCTGGTGCAGCAATCAAAATCATCTTTTTCTCTATATTGATTTCAAACCAGAGACCGGCGGGACACGTTTTTTAAGACTTACCGCGGGACGGGATAAATCTCTCAAAAACGCGGGACGGGACGGGACAAAACTCTATACGGAATTGTCCCGCGATCAATATTCATTGAATTTATGTACTCCAGTGACTTATTTACAAGAAAAACGTAAATATTGTTAGTAATGGTATCTTTTAAAGAACATTTAAATGATCTTATACGCGATTTCTTATCTCGAATATATGATCGCTTTTATCCTTGTCATCCTCATGAAACCCATACTACGTATATATTCGTAATTATTCTACAGAAAGAAAGAACGTAAGTCTTTTTTTACTTTAATAACAATGAATTTGTACCAAGCGAAAGAAATAATATTCGAGAACTATGCTGTATATTCGCTTTGTCTACAGCTCCTATATAAGGTCAGATTGTAACCGAACGTCGAACTAATGTTTTTCCATCTCAAGTAGATAATATTTTATTTATTCGATCAATATTATTAAATGGTTATTTTTCTACGAATTAAACTTTTTTCAAATTAATTTTTATTTAATTATGTAATACATTTATTTAAAAATAAACAGTTAAAGAAAATAAATAGTAAAAGAAAATTAATAGTAAAATACTACGTAAATCTTTATTATTTATAAAATAAATTAATAAAAGTTTTTGATAAGACACGGCGGGACGGACGGGACGGACGGGACGGGACGTAAAATAAGAGCACGGGACACGGGACGGGACGGGACGCTGAAATTTTTTTTGCGCGGGAGACGGGACGGGACGGGACGGGACAGGTCGTTATCAACGCGGGACGGGACGGGACAGAAAAATCCTTGTCCCGCCGGTCTCTGTTTCAAACTGTAATGATATAGATTATGATTTTTGATTTTAGTTCATATGGCAGCGATTGAATGAGTTTTATTTTGAGAATGAGCCTGATTATGTGACTTAAACTCATGTTTTTAAAACATTTCCAAGACATGTCAATAATTTGAAAGTTATAAAATAGTTTACTCCGTCATTTAGTGTGTTTCATTATTAGATGTATCGGGTGAAAATATACGTGCTCTTATATTTTATTAACAGAGAAATACAAAGGACCTCTGTACTTTCCAGGAGTCTTCGACAAAAAACATCAATAGCTGTTTTTGCAGGAAATATTGCCAACATACTTACGCGATAATATATAACACAGTGAAAGATTGAAAACTATCATTAAAATCAAGCAATGTAGTTTTAAACGTAATATACACTCTTAAATAATTGACTTTTTATTATTTAACATCCTCTGAAAGTCTTTACAATATCGACTGAAACATCAATAAAATTCTAAGTGAGCGGCGAGTTGAAGTTTATGATTCCACATTTCAATTATATTAACAAATTTTATTACATGGAAGTTATTCAAATTTGTGATTCAAGCGTTCTTGTGCTTATTGAAAACGTCGGAAAGTATACTGAGCTTTTTTCAATTTGTGAATATTTGGCAGTATGGTTAAAGAAAAGATGAATTCACGCCTCCACTCTTTGAACAGACTTTCTTTCTACATAAATAATTCGCTCATGATATAGTTATATTTTTATAAGAATGAAATGAAATCTATTGTATGTTCGAATCAGATTCGAAATATTTTTTCTCGAGTTTTCTAGCAAACATATGTATTGTGTAAAATTCATGCGATTCTTTTCACTTTATCATAATGCCAACGTACAATTCCACATTCACTAGAAAAATTCTGCATAATCTCAGTTTCTCAGTTACCAATAATACTCATCAATTCCAAATCAAACACTTGTGCCTCACACAAAATATAAAAACGATATTTTTGATGAACAAATAAGAACCTCTCTATCTCTCAACCATTGATGCATTCAAAGATATTCCACCCTCAACACATAGTCGTACTTCACATCCATAGCTTTTATGTCAACAAAACACATATTAAACAGTATTTTTCTTGTCAATATTCTCCTTTTCACATACACTTTCTGACGACTATTGATAACATGGCTTTTTTTTGAAACAAAGAGATTCAATTATATATAATTTCATAATATACTATAATCTATCGTTAACCATCATGAATATCATCATGAAACATGCGTCACCTAAAGAATCACACATGCCAATAAAAAATCTATTGCAATAATATGCTTATAATACAAAATATATATAAAATAAAACAGTTCTATTTAAATTTAGTTACGATGATACCCAACAAAGAAACTCATGCCCAAATTCATTAATAGTTTTCTACCAGTGATCTATATATCGTCGATATCAACATTCACAACTTTGCCACTCTGTTGTTCTGATGAATGAACTCATCAAGTTGAACCTGGAGTTTCACTCCGATTTCATTGCTGCGGAGATCCAATTTAGTAAGTGTCTGCAAGAAAAGTGCAGATGCATATATGAGATCGATGAGGCAGGTACTGATATAGTTACGGTATTATTTCGTAATCCATCTGCTAGATACTGTGCTCCAACATCCCCGATTTGATTGCACAAGAGATGTAATGTGGTAAGTGTCTACGCGAAACAATGCAGATGAATAGATGTGGAAGAGATGATATTTACTTTATTGTTTTGTAATATATCTGCTAAATGTTGTGCTCCGACATCTCCGATTTGATTGTTGTCGAGAATTAACGTAACAAGTGTCTACACGAAAACGTGTAGATGGATAGATGTGAAATAGAATGACATTTACCTTATTATTTTGTAATATATCTGCTAGATGCTGTACTCCAACAGCTCCGATTTGATTGATCGAGAGATTTAATGTGGTAAGTGTCTGTATGAAAAAGTGTATATGGATATATGACATCGATGAGGCAGGTAGCGATAGTTACGGTATTATTTTGTAATGCATTTGCCAGATGCTGTGCTCCAACAGCACCAATTTTATTACGACCGAGATGTAATGTCGTAAATGTCTGCATGAAAAAGTGCACATGAATATATAAGATGGATGCGGAACAGAATGATGTTTACTTTGTTATTTTGTAATGCATCTGCTAGATGGTGTACTCCAACATCTCCGATTTTGTTGCTGCTTAGATTTAAAGTGGTAAGTGTCTGTATGAAAAAGTGCAGATGCATATATGAGATCGATGAGGCTGGTAGTGATATTTACCTTATTATTTCGTAGTGTATCTGCTAGATGGTGTACTCCAACATCTCCGATTTGATTGTTGTCGAGAATTAACGTAATAAGTGTCTACATGAGAAAGTGCAGATGCATATCTGACATAGATGACGAAGAGCATGGTAGTTACCGTATTATTTCTTAATACATCTCCTAGATGCTGCGCTCCAAGATCTCCAATTCTATTGCTGCCGAGATCTAATTTGGTAAGTGTCTGCAGTAAAAAAAGGATAGATGATATCAATGAGGTAGGTAGTGATAGTTACATCATTATTTCGTAATGCATCTGCTAGATGCTGTGCTCCAACATCTCCGATTTGATTGTACAAGAGATTTAATGTGCTAAGTATCTATACGAAACAGTGTAGATGAGATAAATGTGGAAGAGATGATGTTCACTTTATTATTTCGTAACATAGCTGCTAGATGCCGTGCTCCAGAAGCACTGATTTCATTGCGACCGAGATTTAATGTAGTAAGTGTCTGCAAGACAAAGTGCAGATGAATAGATGAGATAGAAGAAGAATAGAATGATATTTACCTTATTATGTTGTAGTGCATTTGCTAGATGCTGAGCTCCAAGAGCTTTGATTTTATTGTAGTAGAGATTTAATGTGGTAAGTGTCTGTATGAAACAGTGCAGATGAATAGATAAGATAGAAGTGGAATAGAATGATATTTACCTTATTATGTTGTAATGCATTTGCTAGATGATGAGCTCCATCAGGTCCGATTTTATTGTAGTAGAGCTTGAACGTGGTAAGTGTCTACATGAGAAAGTGTACATGGATATGTGAGAAATATGCGGAATAGTATGATACTTACCTTATTATCCCGTAATCCATCTGCTAGATGCTGCGCTCCAACAGCTCCGATTTGATTGTTAAAGAGATCTAATGTGGTGAGTGTCTGCATGGAAAAGTGCAGATGAATAAATGAGATAGATGTGGTATAGAATGATATTTACCTTATTATGTTGTAATGCATTTGCTAGATGCCGGGCTTCAACATCTCCGATTTGGTTGCTGCTCAGATTTAATGTGGTAAGTGTCTGTACGAAACAGTATAGATGAGTACATTGAATCGAGAAAAAGGGACAAGGAGTTATCGTCTTATTTTAGGAGACGTTAGGCAAATTTTGTGAAGCAGCATGAGGGTCGAAAAATGGGCTTTTTCTCTTTTTACAAACTTTCATATTCGAGAGTTGAAGCATTAAGGAAAATATTATGGAAGAGGAGTCACTCGTGTCATTCCAGATGAAATTTATGATCAGATATTGTTCGACATATTCACCTATTCTTGCTGAATGAGTTTTCGGTAATAGTCAATTAAGCAAGTCATATCGAAGAAGCTTCTCTCTTGGTAAACGTCAACGAATTGTTCTGTATTTTGAAGTTTCATTATGAGAAGAGCATTTACAATTTAGTAGTTGTTCAGTAAATTTAGCCGTATATCTGTAAGAGGTGGTCTGATTTTCTTTTTGATGATTACTTTCTCTTAAAGAGATGTACATATGATTCAGAAATTGAAAAATTAATAAAACTGCAGGAATTCAAGAGACAAGAATAGGTAGAATTAAGACTTTGTTAGAAAGCTTATGGGTACGAAAGAAAATCTAAGAAATTCTAAAAAATGTAGTAACTCAAGAAATTCAATTGCCTTCACGCTGGTTGTTGTGCTTATTACATTCCTACAGTCACGCGAACGTTGTCTATTGTGCCTCCAGGCTTCTGCTGACAGAATCCGGTGTGTTTCTGTTTCTCGGATTCCTATTGGATCTTATCGGGTGGTCTCATTGTATCAGTATCTTTCAAACTCATTTTAATTCCTTCAAGTTCACAGCATTTTCAAATAGTAAAAAAAATGTCGTTTATCAGTCTCTCTTAAATTTCTTGAGAAAAGA